GGCGGCGGCTGAAACCGCGCGGCCGACGGCAGACTCGCCGGGAGCGACGCCATGTGCTCCGCTACATCACGACTCCGCCATGACGCATCAACGACAGAGTGTGCAGCACTCTCCGCGTTGGCGAAGTTGCCGGCCTCGGGGCCGATTGTGGTGGGTGTCTGTGGCCGACTGACACTCGGTCCAAATTCAGCAGCCACCAGTTGGGGTCCGCCGTACGAATCCGGCAGCAACTGCGCCGCTGTCGTTGCGAGTGTCACAGGATTCTCTTGGCCTGGAGGCATCGCCTGTCCGCTGGAGTTCCACAGCGGCTGTTCTCGTTGCCGCCCCTCTCGTGCTTGAAGATCATACATGTCCTGCAACATACGCTGCTGTTCGGCTTCCTCTCTTAGCAGTCTCTCCCTCGGGTTCGACTTCAGACGAACCCAAAGCGCCGCTATCCAGTTTAGCACAATGACGCCCAGCGTAAAGTAGAATGAAATGTACAACTCGACATACGGCAAAACGTTGCTAAATTTGTTCGTGTATCGGCTCCCGCAAGTGTACACATACAACACCAAAAGCCGGTTCTCATCCTCCACCGCCCACAGCATCACGATACCAGCAACGGTGAGAAAAACCTCCCAGAGTGTCAATACGTCCTTGCGGATGACCACAAAATGGTAACGCACCTCACGGATGCCCATCCACACCCACACGTGATTCAGAAGGCATACAAACAGATGCATCCCGGCCAACGTAAATAACATGCGGATGTTGGTGACGCATCGGCTCACAATGTATTCCACGTTGTCGGTTGAGAGAATGAAGGAAACTTCGCTGAAGAATGCCCGGGGATAGTTCACCTCTATGGCACAGGTCTCGTTTAGGTAGGCGTCATCTAGCTGAAGCGGTGATGAGACGAAAAAATTGTTTCTCATGGAGTTCTTGGCATTGCTTGCCGTACGAACGATGGCGAACAGAAAGCATGCGACGTGCACACCGGTGGTGAGAGTGAACAGGTGCAAAAACCACCTCTCCCCACGAGTGCCCTGCAGATTGAACGTCTTCTGATCTCTACCGTATATGTGCATTGGCGATCGCTCTCAGACACGTGCACGCACACCCCCTTTCTAATCTACTTGCTCGGCACGCTCAGTAGAAGTTATACTACACACTTCCCTCGCGCAGTTGTCACCCTTCTCTCTCAAGCACCAGTCTCAGCTACGTGGAAGTTGCGCACCTCCCTTCTGCTTCCTGTGTTTTTTTTTCTCGTTTTTGTTTTTTTCGCCCTTTCCGTGGACGCACCTCCAGCAACGCAATTTATATTTGTGTGCCGATGTGGCCGCGCAAAAAGAAGAGGCCACCACCATCGCCAGAGGCACACAGAGCGGTCAGAATTGCAGGGAAGACAAAAAGAGAGAGAAATAGATGGAGAATAGCCACACATCTCGCTTAAAGCGGGGATGTCAGTGCACACCTATCACGGCACGGATGCAGCTACAGCAAGCCGCAGGAGAACTTTTTTTTTTCTTTTTAAATAAAGAAAACAGGGGGAGAGAAACACCGTGAGTGAGAAGAGGGCGAGGAGGGCACAACACCTCTCCGGTTTGACAACTCGTGTTGTGCATCCTCCTCTCTCTCTCTCTCTCTCCACGCAGTTATTACCCATGTTGCTAAAGCGGTCCTTAACAAGGCGGCTCTTTCTGCTTTCTCTGGTTTCCCCCCTCGTCATTATTGTAAATAAAAAAAGAAAAAAACAAAACAGGTGTGTGTTAAATAGGAAGTCGGGAGGAGGCGCCTCGTCGGCCCACTCCGCTGTCACTCTCTTCGCACGCACGCTCCAAGTTGACTGCACAGATCTCCTACAGCACAGACAGACACGCCCCCACACCTCCATTCTCCCCCTCCACGCCTGCTCTATTCACTCGCTCTCTCTCTCTCTGTCGCACACACATACACACAAGCACATTCACAGACAGAAATACAGACAAACAGACACGCGCACACCGCCTCCGGCTCCCTCCTCTTCTGCCCACCGCGCCCGTCTGCCCACCGCGTTCCGCACCCCACGCGATGCACCAAATGAGACCGGCGGCGGATCAGGCGGCGGACGCCACACAGTCAGACAGACAGACAGAGAGATACAGCGAGCGAAAGAGAGCAAAGGAAGAAAAAAGAGGAAGAATGGGCAGATGCAGAGACGTGTGGTGAGGAAAGAGGGTAGTGGCGACAACGATAACACGGAAATTTGCTGTTTCCTTGTATCCGATCTCTTTTTTTCGGTTTTTTTGTCTTTTTTAGTTTTTTTTTCTTCTTTGCTTCCTTGTCGTGCCTTGCTTTGCCTTCTTTCTTCACACTTTCCTTGTGGTCTTTCCTTGTTTGTGTTTCATCTTACTCGTCCGCATTGCTGTCCGTCGCCCAAGCCTCTCTCCGACCCCTATGCTGCCCACTACTGGTTCATGTACTGGCTCTGGTTGAGCTGCGTTTTGACGTCCGTCAGCTCCTGCACCTGCATCTCAAACCGCTCCTGCACCTCCTTCATGATGCCGTGGTCTGTGTACTTGCGGTTTTCGCGCTTGATCTCCTTCTCCTCCTCGGTGAGAAAAGCCACCGTGAGGCCCTTCGTGCCGAAGCGACCAGCGCGGCCCACGCGGTGGAGAAACGAATCTGCGTCGGACGCCATGTCGAACTGCACCACGAGGTTGATGCGGTCAATGTCAACGCCGCGACCGAAGAGATCCGTCGCGACAATGATGCGGGTGTGGTTCGTCTTGCAGCTCTCGTACACACGGAGTCGATCCGGCTGCTCCATGCGGGAGTGGATCGCCATAGCCGGGAACTTGAGCGCCTGGAGCTGGCGGCACAGCGCCTCACACCGCTCCACAGAGGAGGCGAAGATGATGGCTTGGTTGAACTCCACTGCGTCGAGGATCTCGCACAGCTTGCGAAGCTTCTGCGCCTCAGTGACGTTCACGTAGAACTGCGCGAGGCCGTGCAGCGTCAGCTTCGCCCGCTGGTCAACGTAGATCTCCGTTGGGTTGTTCATGAACTTCTTGGCGACGTTGCGCAGCTCCTCCGTCATTGTGGCGGAGAACATCATCACCTGCTTCTCCTTCGGGGTCTTGAGGAACACCGTCTGCACGTCGCGGCGCATCTTCACGTCCTCTAGGCAGCGGTCGAATTCATCCACGACGAACCACTTGACGCGAGACACATCGAGTGCCTTGCGCTGGATGAGGGCACTGAGGCGTCCTGGCGTGCCCACGACTATCGCGGGAACCTCCTTCTTGAGCTGCTTCACGTTCTCGTCCTCAGGGATGCCACCGAAGAAGACACCGGTGGTACAGTATGGCAGGTACTTGTTGAAGCGCTTGAACTCCTGCTCAATCTGGTACGCCAGCTCACGGGCGTGAACAACAACAATGGCCTGGCAGCGCGGCTTTTGCCCCTCCTGCACCTTCTCGATCTGCTCGAGCAGCGCAAAGACAAAGACGGCGGTCTTGCCCATGCCGGACTTCGCTTGGGCGAGAATGTCCGCGCCAAGCATGGCCTGCGGCAGAGCCTGGTGCTGCACCTCGCTGGGGTGCTCAAAGCCGTTCTCGCGGATGGCGTTGGCGAGTTCGCTTTTGAGGCAGAAGTCCTGGAACCCGCCGAGCGCGACAGCGCTGTGCGTGCCCATGCCTACGTTGATGGGCGCCTGTGCGGCCACAATGGGCGCCTTCACGTCGTCCCCGTCAAAGTCGGCAAGTCCACTGCTCATCGTTTCCTTCCCTTTAGTTATACCCTTGTATCTTCGTCGCAGGAGGAGACGTGGAGGAGAGCCTAAACGAAGGTGCAGGCGGCAACAAGTAGTGCCGCTGCTCTCACGGCCGCTGCTGGTACGCAAGCAGCCATATTA